AAAAATATATCAAAAATGCATGTGGGTACTCAAATGAAAGCTCTTGATGAGTGTATCATCAAGATGAGCTTATATGTTTAAAAAAGTCAATAGTTAAGAAATTACAGTGGAATTTAACATAATTAAGAAATGACCTTGTATTTTGTGAACTATTGACATTTTTTAAGATATAAGCTCATCCCGATGTTACATTCATCGAGACCTTTCATTTGAGTACCCATATCAATTTTTCATATATTTTATATATTTATATATATTATATATATATATATGAATGTATGACAAATATATTAAAAATGTATGTGGGTACTCAAATGAAAGCTCTTGATGAGTGTAACATTGGGATGAGCTTATATCTTTGAAAAAGTCAATAGTTAAGAAATTACAGTGGAATTTAACATAATTAAGAAATGACCTTGTATTTTGTGAACTATTGACATCTTTTAAAATATAAGCTCATTCCGATGTTACACTCATCAAGACCTTTCATTTGAGTACCCACATGCACTTTTCATATATTTTATATATTTCATAACTAACATATATATGAAATATATAAAAAAAATCGTGTGGGTACTCAAATGAAAGGTCTCAATGAGTACAACATCATAATCCAAAAAAAAATAAATTAAATATTATTTTTCATCATGAAAAATTATTAATCAAAGTTAATTATAATATTTTTAATTTATCTATTTATTACCCTATTTTATTTTGACGTAATTCAACGCTCTTTTCTTCAAATAATTTTGAAGCTTCACATAATAAAACAGCGCAACAATAACTAACGATGAACAGAACAAAATTAAAAATATTAAAAAAAAGATAACATAAGATTCACTTGGTAGCCATCCGAACAACGGCTTAGTGAATGGATCTTCCATTAAATACGTTCTCCAATTCGGCGCACTAATAACGTTGACCAATATTGCATTGGTCGTCCAATTAAACTTTAAATCTTCTTCTTCAATAAAACATTCCCAGAGTCCATGGTGGCTTTTATTAACTTCAGGAATAGTGTCGACATTTATTGACAATGGTGAGGTTGTTCCATAGTTCTTCCATATTTTTTTATTAATTAACCAGCTGACTTTTAAATTCGCATATACATATCCAAGTATTGCACAGTGACAGATAACAGTCATGGGTAAAGTTTCACGGATAGTTTTTATTGTTTTTACTGGACGTACTGACAGAGAAACAATTTTAAGAATTGAATAACTCCTGTCAAATTTATGGGAAGTCATTGTGTAAACTCCAGAGTCATTAACGCTTGCTTGTTTTATTTCTGAAATTATAAATTAAAATGAAAATTTAATTTAATAATTAAAAATTTTTTTTTTATTTGAAAAAAAAGAAAGAAGAAATTTTGTATGTAGAAAATTTGAAAAATTATATGTGCAATTTTTTTTTAATTAATGAAAATTAAATTATCAGATATTTTAAAGTTTTTATAATTTTTTTTAATAAATAAATTAGAATAAAAAATTTTATAAGGATATCGAAGATTATATGAGCAATTTTTTTAACTTGTAATTAAATTAACAAAAAAAATCAAAAATTTTTTAACGGCTAATTTTAGTATCATTAAATAATTTATGAATTTACATTTACTAAATAATTTTTATTAAATTGCACTGTAATTTTTTAACTATTGATATTTTTAAAGATATAAGCTCATCTTGATGTTATACTCATCAAGAGCTTTCATTTGAGTACTCACATGCATTTTTGATATATTTTTCATATATTTATATATATAATATATAATATATATAAATATATAAAATATATGAAAAATTGATGTGGGTACTCAAATGAAAGGTCTTGATGAGTGTAATGTCAGACTGAGCTTTTATCTTTAAAAATGTCAATAGTTCACGAGATACACGGTCATTTTTTAATTCTGTTAAATTGCACTATACTTTCTTAACTATTGACATTTTTAAAGATATAAGCTCATTTTGATGTTACACCCATCAAGAGCTTTCATTTGAGTACCCACATGCATTTTTATATATTTTTCATATATACATATATATAATATATATAAATATATGAAAAATTGATGTGGGTACTCAAATGAAAGGTCTCGATGAGTGTAACATCGAGATGAGCTTATATCTTTAAAAATGTCAATAGTTCTCAAGATACAAGGTCATTTCTTATTTATGTATCTAAAAATAGAGCATTTTTTAACGTAGCCTAAATACTTATCATTATTAATTAACTACTGATAAGAATGATATAAATCCATGAAAAGGTCTTAATAATATAGATAATAATGATTACCAATACTGCAGTTATCTAAAATGATTCGATGATCATCTGCATCAACAAATATTCCATCATGGGACCACTGAATTTCAGATCGAGGAGATTCTTTTTCCACTTTAGCGACAATATCAGAGTCGCAAGGAATTGTTACAGGCTGGCCTTCTTTTACAACAAGAGCTAAGTGGCTATTTTTTTTTCTTCGATTTATCAAAGTAATTGTATCTCGGGTTATATCACCGCAAAGATTCGTATTACACGTTCCTGTCATTTCACTTGGACCCATGCATGGTTCACCCTTGATGTTAGGCTCAGGATTATTACAAACACGTTTTCTCTTTCCTACTCCTCCGTTGCAACTTGCGCTACAGATCCAAGGGCCCCATTCAGACCAGCCTCCGTCTCTTGGTACTTCATTTATATCTTTAACAAAAAAAAAAGTTACAAAATAATTAGTTCCAATTAAATTTGAATCATTTATTTTAAAATTGTAGCCCTAAAAATTATATTATTAGCAATATAAGTCTTAAATTATGGCACATTTTTAACAAACACTTGTACACATATATATATTTTTCGACGCAACTTTAACAAAATTTAATTTCTAATAAGTAACACATTTTTTTTTAATTAATAAAGAACAATAATGTAATAATATAATTTTAAAAACAAATTTTATAAAATTGAAGATTAATTTTTTTTAACATGAAATTATTATGAAAAAAAAAAAATGATTAAATTACTCTAAGTAAAGTAACATGTGTTGTTTCTAAACAAATAACATGAAATATAATGAAATTATTTTTTTTAACCCTAAAAACAATTTTTTTAACATTATATTTATCTAAAAAAAAAAAAAAAAAAAAAATGATTAATTAATAACTTAGATAAATACAAGCTGTTTTTATGTAATGACAATAAATAATATTAAAAATTTTTTTTAGTAACTGCTGACAAAAGCTGTTCTTTATGTTCGATTTTCTTCGACAGATCACGAATTTTATTCTTGTACAATTTAATAGTAGATTGAACAGCTGATTCATCATTTTCTATAGATTTTATTATTGATTTAATTTTATCAACAACTTTAACTTTCTCATTAGTTCCCAGTTCAGTCAATCCAAATTTTTTTGTTAATTCATTCATATCAGCTTCTATTCTTTCTAAATCACGCTTCAATAATGCAGTTTGTCTTTTATAATTTTCAATATCAGCTCTTAAATTTTCTGGATCCTTTAAAAACAAAAAGAATCCATTTTTAATCTCATTTATTACATAAAAAAAATATATTGCTTTATTTATGACCTTTTTTTTTAATACTTACATATTCTTCTTTTGCATTTGATAACAAATTACAGTAATGATTTGTTTCATTATCAAAAAATTCACTAGAAAAAAAATTTTTTTTTTTTTTTTTTAGACATTTTCATTCAAAATTTTTGGAAATTATTTAATTACACGGAAAGAACAAGATGACACTGGATACCATCTCAGATTATACTAAGTGACATCTGAGGTGAAAAAAACTTTCAGATGGTAGCTAGTATAATTCAGATTATACTGAATAATATCGGGATTATACTTATTGTAATCTGGATTATACTTACTGTTATCTGGATTATACTCACTGTTATCTGGATTATACTAGCTACTATCTGAAATCGTTTTTCACTCAGTATAATCTGGGATTATATCCAGTATAATCTTGTTCTTTCCATGTACTTATGCTAAAAATAATGAATTATAAAATTTTTACTAACCTAAAATCACGAAGCTCTTTGTTATTTTCAGATTTGTATTTTTGATAATGATTTTCAATTTCAACAAGAGATTCATTTTTCTTCTGTACTTCTTCTTCTAAATATGTGTTTTCTTTTTGTAAATATTGGAGACTCATTTCCATTTTCCAATTACTACTTGCCAATGACACTTGCTCATCTCGGAGCATTGTTAAATTTTTTTGTAAATTTTTCAATTCTTCAGTCAATTTTTGCTCCTAAATTATTTAAATAAAATAAAATAAATTTTTATCTATATCTATACAACAATAATAATTAAATCTATGAAATTAAATTTTACATTCACTTGACAACTATTTAATTTTATTTAACAAAAAAAATTTCTTCCAAAAAATTATTTAAAAAAAAAACTATGTTTTTAATTTTTTTCAACTTTTTAATGTCAATTGTTTTTTTCACAAATTTGATTGTTAAAAAAATTTTTACAATTATTAAATATCTGCTAAATTAATTTTTATATTTAGTTAAAAAAAAATATATATTTATTTACCTGCAATTGTAACCTTTCAATATTTTCTCGTGAATTACAATTTTCCATTTTTGGAAAAAAATAATTAAAAAATATCAAATGTTTAATCTATTTAATTCAGTTATATTTTCATAAAAAAAAAAAACTTATTGTTTTCTTTACAACAGTTAAAGAGCAAGTGCTGACAACGATTAATTATAATAAATAAAAAAAAAAATTATATTACTTGACGTCAGTGTCTTAAATTAATCTATTTTCACAAATTTGGACTTGAAATAGCTTCTGTTAATTTTTCAAAATTTACTAACTTCAGAAACATCTAAATTTTTGCCGCGCATGCGCAGCGGTTTACTTTTTTCAAATCAGCTGTAAAACCAATGACACTGAAGTTCACTAATAGGTACTACAAGTTTTTTTATAATTTTATAGTAGTGAAATTGCTGCGAAAAATATTTAATAATAAAAATTACACATGTCAAAATTAAAAAAAATATTAGTGGAAATTTTTAGAAGCGGTTTTTTTTTTTTAATTGGTATTGATTTGTTAGAAGAACTTAAAAAATTGACAGATAAAAATTTTAAAAAATTAAAAATGTAATTAATCATGAAAATTAAGTTAGCCGACATTTAAAAATTTTTATAATTTTTTTTTTATTGAAAAAATCATTACAAAAAAATAAAAAAAAAATTGCACGTCTAAAAAACTTTAAAAACTGTAAGTGCAATTTTAAAAAAAATTTTTTTGTTCTAATTTGATTAAAAAAAAAAAAATTTAAAAATTTAAAACGTCGGCTAACTTTAATGACATAATTAATCGCTGAAATAACATTTTTTTTTATCTTATAAGTGAAAATAAATATAATAATCTATACATTTAATTTCACAAAATTAAAAAAATTTATGTAATTATTTATTTTGTATCAAAATAACTTAATTGTATACAATCATAATTAATCTTAACTGTAATTTAAAATTAAAGTATAATTATATTTTTTTTTGTGAATCAACAATACTGGACTTAAAGTTAAATACAATTATGTAATAATAATTAATAATGATAATATCTGTTAGAATAATGAAATATTTATAAAAACCGAAATTGTCTTAGAAATAAATTTTTTTAAAGATAATTTCGGTTTTTTTTTTTTTTTTAATATTTTCAATTTTTCTGAAAAAGTACATGGAACGTTTAGCATAAGATAAATTTGAATATTTTAAAGATGAAAAAAATGTTTTTAACAATAAAAAATTATTTTTTTCCCACAGATTTTCTGTTTCGCTTTTTAGTTGGTTCAGTTTCCGGTCGAGTTGGCCGAGACTTTTCTAGTTCTTTCAATAACTTTTGCTTAACTTTGTGAAGATGAGCTTTGTAATTTCCATTGAGAATAAGTCGCTCTTCTAGCATTTCTATCAGAGGCTTCGTAACGATGTCTGTAATGTGTGCTAGTGCTCGAGTACGAACCGCTTTGTTGTGGATTATTGCAAGAGGATCTGAATTATTTATACAGTTGTCTCCAACTTCGTCATCTTCTTGGACAAGAATTTTCGGAAGGTCTTTTAATGCCTAAAATAATTAGATTTTATTGAATTTAACAAAAAAAAAATTATTAAATAAAGAAAAGCTGGCTATTTTTTTAACTTAAATAAAAAATTTTACAGCCAAAAATAGAGCCTTAATTCTAAAGAATGGAAAATATTTTGTATAGAATTTAATAATAAAAAATAACTTACATCCATGCATTCTTTAGAAATTTCCCCAACCTTAACAATCTCTAATGGAATTTCTACGGCCTCATTGTTACGAGATTGAAAGCAAGTCAAAACACACTCTTGTTCCTGTAAATTAAATTATTAAGCAACAAACTTCAAAAATTATAAAATTAAATTGTTTTAAAAGTATCTAATTTTTAAAATTAAAGTTCTTATCCATTTTTTTTTACAACACAAATTAATTAAATTCTCCTTTTTCTTGGATAATTATAAAGTTAGCCGACGTTAAAAAAATTTTTGATTTTTTTTCATCGATTAAATTACTTATTAAAGAAAAAAAGAGAATTTGATAAATTTATAAAGTTACCTTTGTTTCTTTCTTTTCTGAAAATACTGAAAATATAAGACCAACGAAACATGGGTCCATTAATTGATATGTTGCCTGAGTTCCGATATCTGTAAAATAATAATTTTTTCTCAGCTTGTGTAAATTTATTTAATATAAATAAAATAATTTAACTTAAATAAAAAGGGTAGAACAATTTTTTATTTTTTTTAATAATTGAATTACAAGTTAAAAAATATTTAAAAAAAATTAAAAGATAATTTATTATAACTAATCATGGGAATTAATTTAGCAGATATTTTACAATTTTAAGAAATTTTTTAACAAATAAATTATGTCAAAGAAAATGAGAAAAAAAAAATGGACATTTAGAAAATTAAAAAAATAAAAAATCCAATTTTTTAGAAATGATTTGTCGGAGCAAATTTATTTATTAAAGAAAATTAAAAAATTGTCTAGCGACTGCTAACTTTAATGTCATTAACTAATCACATTACTCACCAACATGAGAGGGAAAAACAGTGATATGAGGATGAGAATGATACCATCCAATAACCCTCATATGTCGTTTTAATTCCATAGTCAATCTTTCAGCTTCAGCTGCAGCTTTTAATAACTGTTCTGGTGAAATTTCTACTCGGTCTTTTTTTTTATCTAATCTTAGAAGAATATTTAACGCAGAAATTTTAGTGACTCCATCGTCGATCTAGAAGAAAAATCATTAAAAAATTAGTCTTTTTTTAATAATGAAAATTATATTAGCCGACATTGGAAAATTTGAAAAATTCCAAGTGCAATTTTTTTACTTATAATTTTTATTGAATAAAAAAATCAAAAATTCTCAAATGTCTGCTAATTTTAATATTAATTAATAAAAAATTTATATTAAAATAATAATTATTAAAATAACCTACATCACCAATAAGCAGTCCCATAACTTCAAAATTTTCAGTTGACAAGGCATGTTGGAGACAAGCCATATAAACATCGGCTTGTAACTCAACTTTTTTCAATGGATATTCCATTATTTATTTTTTTTTTTCTAAAATTATCACTTACAGGAGGAATAATAAATTATATTTATCAAGTGTTTGACATAGTTTAACATAACCTCCTGTAGTGATTTATTTATACAAAAAATACGAATATGTGTACATATAAACTGATGAGGTTAATGTGATTCCTACTTTATCACTCAAGCGCTGCGATAGACATTATAATAATAATAATAATAATCATAAAAGTGGATATTTAAATTTTGAAAATTTTTACAACAAATTAATTTCATTAAAAAAATTGCACTAATTATTATTTATAATTTTCACATGTGTAATTTTTTTCATAATAATTTAATTATAAAAATTCAAAAAATTGACAAATGTACGGATAAATTTTTTTTTTTCAAAGAAGAAAACATAAAAAAATTATAATTAATTAATAATTTGATAATTATTCCAATAATTGATTATTGCTCATTGGTATTGATAGATAACTCTAAAAGGCTAGACTATAAATTACAGCGCCTGATAAGCTACGGTATTAAGTTAATTTTCAATCTGAAACGTGATGACCATATCTCACTCCTTATCGTCGCTCCCTAAAATGGCTCTCAATAAAATCTAAAAGGCTACTTATATCTCTAGCTTGTTTTCTTTATAAATTATTCAGTTCTGGTGAGCCAAATTTTTTGAGGTGTCTCTTTGTCGAGGAGTCATAAGACATTAGACGCTCAATAATGTCTCGTTCAATTTTCCAAATTTCGCAACATCTAAATAAATAAAATAGTTATTAAAAATTATTAATTTTATTACAGCAACTGAATTGATTTCTTCAACAGTAGCACGTGATGATTAATATAATGTACAGAGTTCACGTGGTACTGAAGAATTACCAGTAATATAAATTATATTATTATATAATAAAAATCTGTAAAAATAAACTTTTAAGAGTCCCAAGATTCAACAGTTGGCAGTGGAATATCAATCACTCTATCATGATGGGGATAACATGGATGCCACCAATCTATGACTTTGCAGTCAACAACTCCGCTTAGTATGACTACGTGAGTTGGTACTTTAGAGCTGTAATTGCTTGAAAAATTTAAATGAAGTCGGTGATGTTTAAAACCTGGTGATAGGTCCATTTTAACAGATTGAAGAATCAGACTGTTTACCAATGGTATCATTCCATAATTTAAACAGGTCACTCTGAGTATACGACAATTATTTTCTGGATTTATTGCAACTTCCTCAAGCATATTATTCTCATGGAATTCTTCGTTGATTATGTTACTAATACAATTGTTTTTTGTATTATTAACATTACTTGAAATATCTTTGAGTTTGAAGTAATAAAACCAATGATTTTCTCCTTTCTAAATAAAAATCAATATTTAAATAAATTTACAAGATTAAATTAAATAAATAAAATTATAAAAAAAAAAAAACCTTGTGCCACATAAGACAACATCGTCTCTTAACCAAAGAATGTGGTTCCTTCTGTTCTAAATATGGATTTTTATTAACTTTTTCTAGAGAAGAAAAATAAGTAAAATGTAATGTTCTGATTACACATGCTCGAATGCCATGCAGTAGTACCATACATTCAGGTCTTAATCTTTCTGGTAAATATGGTAGAGGTTTATAATACCTTAAAAATAAAAAAATTATATTTTTATTTAATTAATAATTAGATGAAAAAAAAATTAATGATAGTAAATTTAGTCGACAGCTGTCAATTTAAAAAAAAAATTTTTTTACTAAATAAATCGTAATAAAAATTAAAAACAAAAGTTTTAATTACAATAATTTAATTATTAAAAATTAACAGCTGTCGACTAATTTTACTATCATAAAAAATTTAATGAAAATTTATGTACCTTTTATAAAGGTGAAACCAAAATTTACCAGTTCTTGTTACATAATACGAGCTTTTACAGATAACTGAAAATTTACCAACGTCTTCTGGTTTTATATGCTCTGATATGAGGTACCAAAGATCTAGAGGGTAGTCTATGCCTGTAAAATATTAAATAAAAAAATCTGAGTATAATTATTAATTTTCGGAAAAAATTTTGGTACTACTTATCACAAATTTTACCTGATTCTGAAGACGATAGATTATTAATATGAGTTTTATCTAATTTATCAACAATTCTTGAAGAATTAACGCATTCACTTCCATTAGTTTTACCTGTAACTGTAAAAGTTTATTGTTAGAATTAAAAATACTTTTTAATTAACAACTAAAAATATTTATAAATAAAAAAAAATTTTTAAAATAGATAATAGTTACAGAAATTTAATGTTTTATTGTTTGTATTTACTTACGTTAAAAAAAAATTACTTGATATTCTTATATTTTAATTTTATTTCACACAATTTAAAAACTAACTAATAAATAATAAATTAATTTTAGTAAGAAAAAAATTTATTAAAAAAATTCTAGCTTTAGAAGCTGTAAAAAATTATAAATGCAATTTTTTAAACTGAGTTTATTTTTATAAAAAAATTAATGATTTTTTTTTAAATAAAATTTAAAAAATAGAAAAATATATATATAACCTGTAAAATCGTCGTATTTTTTTATAAATCTTGCTTTGTTGCGGTGTTTTTTATCTGAGCGTGCCATGACTTAAAACTTTTTATTAACTTATTAATTTTTTGCAATAAATTTCTAACCAATAAATAAATATAAAATAAATTTAACAGGTTGAAAATTTTATTATTAATTATAAAAAATTATAAAATTCAATCAGCTGTTTTCAGATTTTTAGAGTGATATTAGCTCATGTATGTCAACACAATAATAAACACCATAATTAATAGAGCGAGATGTCATGTGTCATCTGGTTATGATACTGAAGTTGACAAACATTAAAAATTATTTTATTATTTTATAACAATAAAATTATTATAAAAAAAAAATTACACATGCAAAAATTTAAGAAAATCATCAGTAAAATTTTTTTTTATAACAATTGTTATAAAATTATAAAAATAATAAAAAATTGACAGTTGTCAGCTAACTTCAGTCTAACATCTGATTGGTGTTTTTTTAGTGACCGTCAGCGACACCATGCGGTAGCAATAATTTATACCGCGTAATTCAAACGAGTAATCTTAGTTATCAATCAGTAGATGTTATGATTAATTATAATAAGTTTTAATGAAAATGTGTATTGAAAATACCCAAGTTATGAATTGAAGAAAAAAAAAAAAATTATTATTGACTTACCTGGAGGTAAACAATTTACCGTCCACTTAGCGAAGCCAGTTCTGAGTTTAACTGAGAAGAAATAGAATACAAATGGATGCGTATGCTCGTAATCGAGGAGTTTTATTGTGTTCCAAAAAACTTGCATTGTCCGGTTGACCCACCTGTGATATAAAGTAAGAATTTTTTTATATTATACAAAATATTATCATACTGAAGTTAGCCGTCAGTTGTCAATTTAAAAAATTTTTTCAACAAATCAATTACAATAAAAAAAAAACTTCTAAAAATTTTCACTTGTAATTTTTATTAATTTTCACATGTGGAACTTTTTAATTAATTTTTTTTTATAATAATTTTATTGCTCTAAAATTTAAAAAAAAATTTTTAATGTCTGTTAACTTCAGTGTCACAAAATATTAAAATTAATTTAGAAGATATTTAATAATTTTTTTAATAAATAAATTAAGTCAAAAAAAATGAGTAAAAAAATTTTGACATGTGAAAATGTTAGTAAATAAAAAATGTAATTTTTTAAAAATAATATAAGAAAAAAAAAAGATAAAAATTGTAATTACGATATAGTTATATTGCTCCATTCTTTTTCTGATAGTAATTGCTCAACAGGAGATTTTTTTTCAACGATTTGGAATAAAAATGTCATGTAAGAGTTGAAAAGTGTGATTGTTGACGTCGATTGGCCAATCTTCAAAACATAATATCTACGAAATTATTATAATAAAAATTTAAAAATATAAGGTAAGATCATTGAAGAAGAAAAAAAAATTATTTTTAAAGTACTTACTCAAAGTCTTCAGGAAATAAAATTAGCGGTATTTGAACATCTCCATTAGATATTATCATAAATTCAAGTTTTTGAGGGTGCATATAATTAGTATCATCTTCACTAAAAATAGGAAAAAATTTTTCGATTTTATTTGTTGTCGTTATTTCAACGTGACATGCTGGAAAAAAATTTAAATTAAAAAAATTAATCATCTGCAATCTTAACATATTTCTTCACTAGAATATAAATATTTTTTTTTGATAAATATTTATATAATATAAATATTTTATTAACATACTAGATACGCAATCATATGATAGTGCCATTAAATTTTTTTCTGTTGAAAAATAATAATAAATTGGCAAAAAAGATTTTAATGGATCTTCATGCTCCCACTCAAATAGTAGGCTAGTTGCGTCTCGATAAATTTGAACTTTTCCCCGGGGGATTTTTATTATAAATTGACTCCATCTTGCGATGAATAGTATGTGAACCGAAATTTGTTCCTTTACTAATTCATAATCTACAAAAAATAGAAGATATTCTATAAAATATTCCAAATGAATTTAATCTATAAATTTTTAATAAGAAAAAAAATAAAACCTTTTTCTTCAGATTTATAATATAGTAAAATCTTGGAATTATTTTCAGCACCAATAATTAACTTGTAACTAGAATTTAATCCATCATCTGCATCAAATACTATTTTAATTAAATCTGGATCATCAGGTATCCAAATTTTGACATTTATTTTTATACCCTTGACACGATATTTTGGTAAAATATACATTCGTCTACCAATATTGTCTCCTTTTATGAGAAAAATATATTCTCCTAGAAGAAATAGTCAATTTTGGTCAAAATTTAATTCAAATTTATTAGATTAGAAAAAATTTTTGTAGTACTATGATCTTACCTATTAAAATTTATAAAATTTTAACCAAATTTAATAAGATTGTGTAAAATTTTATAAAATTTTGTGAAATAAGCTCATCCTGATGTTACACTAATCAAGAGCTTTCATTTGAGTACCCACATGTATTTTGATATATTTTCCATATATACATATATATATAAATATATAAAAAATTGATGTGGGTACTCAAATGAAAGGTCCCGATGAGTATAACATCGAGATGAGCTTATATCTTTAAAAATGTCAATAGTTCACAAGATACAAGGTCATTCCTTAATTATGTATCTAGGGATAGAGCATTATTACTTTTTACAATAAGTTTTGCTTAATTTTTTTTATAATTTTAAGAATTTGGATTCAATTGCATTTACTTAATAGGTAACAAATTAACAATTAATTAAAAATTTTAATATTTTATTTGTAAAACTATAATTTTTTAAAACTCTTAAAGAAAACTTTTACTAAGAAAATAAATATATAAATAAATACCTGGTAAATCACAATCTTTAACTTGACACAAATCTCGAGTAACCAAGGGATCTGTAGTATAACACCAAGTACCAGCAGCACTCTGAGAAGGGTTGCGACAATAATTGCTGGCATCTTTCACACTTTGTTCGGGATATAGGGTGTCATTTAGGTACTCTAAATTCACAATATGAACAAGATAGTTTCAAAAAATGAAATTAAAATTAAAATTAAAGACTCGAGTAAAATAAAATACTTTTTTCCCCTTTTTTTCCAGGTTGGTTAAGCCAAAGCGCGCAGCGACGACCTGATCGTGTTTCAGATAGTGTTCCAATATAATCATTAGCGGTTCCAACAACTCGGCATGAAGCTGACCGACAAGCTGGAATCAAACAATCGGATTTATATGCAGTAGTTGCTGTTGAATCCCATAGAGCGTAACAATACGGAGTTTTTGCATCGAAATTTATTTTTCGACATTTATTCGTCGCGTTAAATACAGATCCGTCTGGAAACAAATGATCTTCTTTTTGATCATTCGGAACCTTAAAAAAAAAAAATTGACTTAATTAATTTTATTCGATAATAATAATAATAATAATAATAATAATAATAATAATAATAATAATAATACATAGTGTAAAAAATGCCTCTTAAATTAATTTTTAAATTAATAAATAAAATTTTTAAGGAAATTTCAGGAAAAATCTTGGACCAACAAACCATATCTGATGACCAAAGTGCACATGGAAAGAAGTTTTTAGTAAACCATTGCGCTCCTTCATATTTCTCTTCTTTACTTGCGATACAATTTGGCGGTGATGTTTCTTCTGATAAATCTTTATTTTCAGGAGTGCAATATAAAGTCCAGTGTGCAATTCTTTCACTTCCGATACTGAACCATCGGACTGTTTTAAATAAATCGTATTTAACGTGCAATAATTCAACTCCTCCGTAGTATTTGTGAACCAATATGTACAAGTCTGATCCAAAAATACTAAAACCCAATAATAATCTATATTATTAAGAGAATAAGAAAAATTTTATGTCCAGGATAGTCATGCGATGAATATTATCCATTGTATTACCTGATCGTAAAATCTTCCCAAGTCCAATAATCTAATACTTCTGAACTTTCCACATTTTTAATTTCATGTATTGGTAACTCGCTTGTTTCTTGATAAATTATTGTTATCAATCCTTTTTGAGTCATTTTAATCTGCGATTAAAATATAATATTTTATTATTATAATTATCTAAATTATTCAGAGAAAAATTATTTAAATTTAAACCTCGAAATAAGGAAATTGCACTCCAGGGGTTTGATACAATTGGATTGATATTGCAAACGATGAGCGCAAAAAAAAATTTATACTATAGCTTTTATAACTAGAATGAATTGGCCAAGTTCTTAAATATCTATAACCAAAGGTCGTATGAATTTCACATGCTGAAAAAATTAAAAAAATTTAGAAAATTTAATGCAAAAGCTTCGATATTATCTTAAAAGGTCATTCTGGTTTATAAATTTGACAATTAAAGTTTTTTTTTTTACATTTTTCAAAAGTACAGTTTCAAAAGTAAGATTCATAAATACCATAAAATTTGAAATATTTATTATGAATCTTAATTTTGGAATTACAGCAAAAATATTAGTTTTTTTTTTTTTTTTTTTTAAATTAGGTATAAGAAACATTTTTTTTACAAAATTAAATTTTGAAAAATTTTTTATAGAACCAATATTTTGGCCACGATAATAAAAATTTGAATTATTTATTTTAAAATTGCGGCAAAATTTTGGCCCATTGCAATTTTTTTTTAATAAAAAAATTTGTTCAAAAAAAGTTTCACTTTAAAAATTTTTTTTAATTTCTACATGTCAATTTTTTTTTCTCATTTTTTTTGCCATAATTTCTTTGTTACAAAAATTCTTAAAATTATCAAATATCTGCTAAATAAATTTTCATTGATATCTATAATAGTTTTTGTATAAAAAAATAATAAATATTAACTTTTTTTCAAGCGCTAGAACCAGAATGAACCCTTAAATTAATTTATATAATCCTTACTTTCTAGGCATAAATCTGTGCTCCAAAGTATTCCCTCACCGGCTAATCCGTAGTATAAAAAACCATCCGGATATAATGTAGACAATGAATCCTTAACTGCGTATTCACCTGCATATATAATTTCTGTTGAATTAGCTAAGCTGATTGTGACGTACCCTAGGCTCCAGGAAATTGTAATCGCCGTCCAGTTTTCTCCAGTAATTAAATGAGGAGTGTGTTTAAAATTTGTATGGAGCTGTAATATAATTGTTATTATTACGACTATTATTTTACTCAATTCCGTTTAATAAATTACATTTAAACCCGGATAAATCAAACCAGTTAGGGTATTAGAGAACGCAATTTCAGCTCCAGCTTTCCAAAGTTCTGCTATCACTTTACCAGTAGCAGGAACTGGTACATGACTTAACAGCAACGTTGCCATAGTCTGAAAAAATACTTAATATATAATATAAATACTTAATAAGATAAATAACATGAATAAAGTAATAAGTAAGGCTTGAAGTTTTAGCCGCAATTTTAAAATAAGTGATTCAAATTTTTTAAATTACGGCGAAAATATTATCCCTATTTATAAAAAAAATGTTTCTTAGAAAAATTAAAATTTCTTGATAATTATTAATGTTATTTTTGAAATTACAAAATTATTGGTTTTTTCAAAAAATCATAAGAAACATATTTTTTTTTTTTAGTTAAATTTTGAACAAATTTTGTTAAAAAAATTTTTTTATAGGACCAATATTTTCGCCGCAATATCAAAATCTCATTATAAATTTGCAGCAAAATTCTTTGTGCTAATAATTAATTATCAATAAATTTAATTCTTTACTTTATAATTAAAAGTTGGATTCCATAACTTGATCCAAACTGTAATATTCTGATTTGAATAATCCAATTTGGTGATCGTAGAATATGAATCAATTGATCTTGTGTATACTAAACAGTCCCTATCGTCAGCTAATGGTACATCGCAATATTCCTTGTTTACAATATTCTCGTATACACCATCTACGTAACACCAAGGACCACCATTGTCACCATCAGGATTACGGCAATAGTTTTTGGCTCTTTCTCGAGATTGCTCCGGAAAGTTAGTATTTGGAAAACGTTTTGTCTAAAGTAAAGAAAAATTTTAAAAATAAGTTGAGAGTTTTTAATAATAATTTTAAATTATTATTACAAACTTGAGTCGCTATATCTCCTTCCTCGATCGTATGTCTTGTCTTCCAAAATTTACATTCTTTTTGAGATAAAGAAGTCTTAAATTTTCCTCCGTACTCTACACCTGTTCCTGTAACTCGATTTTCTATAAATAGAGCAAAAATAATTATTTTTAATGAAACTTTTTAAAATTGTTTTACTTAATTAAAGAGTTTTTCTCTTGATTCAAATTAATTTATTTTTTTTAGTAAAGTAAATTGAATTTTATGAAAAAATTATTTAAAAACCTTGATAGTTACAAAGAGGAATATCACATTCTTCAATTTCTACACTCTTCTCTATTGTATAACACCACAGACCTCGAGAATCATTAGTAGGATTCCGGCAATAATTTTTTGCTAATGATTTACTGCCGTCTGGAAAGTCAATATCTCTAATACGTTCATCAACCTAAAATAAAAATAATTAATTAGTATTTCTAGCGCTCAATATTAGGGAGATATATAAATCATCAGTAATATCATAATATTTTACACCTCTTTAATAAGATTTTCTTCAAATTTATACCTTAAAATAAAAATAAAAACTGAGTTACATATCAAGGGCGTTAAATAGATAAATATCTCGAGTTTTTGGGCTATTATTTTTTTATTTATTTATCTATTAATTATACTAACACTAATCTCGGCAACATACATCACTGATAGAAGGATTTATTTGTATTAAAAAATATTTGTTAATAATTAACAAATTATTTATGTAAGTCTTTTTAAATACTAACAAATGGTTTTTAATAAATGATTTGTTTAATATTAACAAATATTTGTAAGTAAAAACAAATCCTTCTATCGGTGTAAAGATATACAGATTATACCTTATGTATTTGTTCTATTCCAGTCCACATTTGACAACGTATTCCACTTTTTGTCACAGCAATTGTTCCAACATAATCACCTCCCAATTGTGAAAATTTACATCTTGTAAAATCAGATCCCGCTTGTTGGGCTGTTAAAAATTTTTTAATAATTATTTATAATAATTAAGGGCCAGTTTTTTAATCCAAGATAAAATTTTATCTTTATTTATTGAAAAATTGGCCCAAAAAAAAATTTTTTTATTATTTTAAAATTGACTTCAATTACATTCTTTAAAAAAATATAAATTAATTACAATAACTAATAATCTTCTCAAATTACTAGTCATAATTAATTGTTATTATATTTATTATAAAAAATGTTACTTAAAAATGGAAAAAAAATTATTCTACTTAATTCGTAAATTATTATAAAACTTATTAATATTAATTGAATAAACTAACATAAAATTTTGGTTATTTGTTTACACAAAAATAAGAAAAACATAAAACAATCATAGTATGTATAAATATATGTAATATAATATTTGCGGCATCAATTTTTGTTATTTAAATTAAGAATAAGTTTGTAAATTCTCCAAACCATCTTATAAACTCCGCCGTCCATCTTACGGCATGAAACAAATGGTGGACCTTCTTAATATTTTTTTGAATCGGAACTTCTTTGAGTCTTTTCGTTTTCCGTAAAGAAGAAAAGAGGAGAGGTAATTGAACGTCGCCCCTTCTTCCCCCTAAAAGACCTCATTAGCCAATTTTTCAGGTAGAATTTTCAATGTACATTTAAATATTCATCCATTACACATCATTTACTTGTCGATACTTTACAAGTAACAAGTGCAGTAATTTTATTACCTAGTTTTTATAACCTTGAATTGATATTTCAGTTTTTAATATCTAATTTTCATCTTTTTATAAATAAATAATTTTAAAAAATGCCTGAAATGGTAAGTAAAATTAAAAATTAATAAATTAATAAATATATCACATGAATAATTTAAAAAATAGTGTATAAAAGCAATTACTAAAGCCAAAAAGGAGAAACATGCTGATTTTATTGAAAAAAAAAATTTTTGTGAAGAATATTTAAAAAAAAAACTTGAAAATTATTATTTTTCTTGTTTAAGATTGAAATATTTTTGAAAAAAAATATTTTATAAGCTTTTTTGGTTTTAAATTTCAAAATTTTGTGGTTTTTAAAACCAAACAAGTGTTTAATTAGATCTTTGCGCTCTTTTGGATTATGGAAAGATTTTTTTTTTATTTTTATACTAAAAATATGTAATTGTAAAGTAATTATTGTAATCAAAATTTTTGTCTCAATTTCAAAATAACAATTAATTATTATTAAAAATTACAATTAATTTTATAAAAAAAAATGTCTCTTATAATTTTTTTTTTAAGACCAATAAAAAAAGCCGCAATTTCAAAATTAAGGTTATTATAATTAGAGAAAATTTGAATAATTTATTAGATGAATTTTAATTAAGAAATTACGGTGAAAATATTGGCTTAAAAAAAATTATAACAGAAATTTCTTTTATAAAATTAAATTTTCCACAACTTTTTTATAAAAACTTTTTACAAGACTAATATTTTCGGGAAAAATCTTGGACCTAGTAATAAAACATCTACTTTTTTTTCTACGCTCTTTTGGCTTTAAGAAAATTTATCTTAAAGACAAAAGTGCGTATAGAGATCTGCCTTTTTGGCTTTAGGAACTCTAAATTTAGTGATTTAAAGCCAAAAGGACGTAGAAATTTTTAGTGAGATCTAATTGTCGTGTTAATATGCAAATATTGGTCGCATAAACAAATTATAACAGACATTTCTTTTATAAAATTAAATTTTCCACAAATTTTTCATTAAAAAAATTTTTTATGAGATAATTTATTTCATTTTATTTAATAATAGTTTAATTAATAAATCTATTTTATTCTTTCAGGAAATTTTATGTGACTGTGAAGCTTATTGCTTAACATCAAGCATGAGCATTCCAAAAGATTTCTATACTATTTATGAAATAATCGAGGATTGCTTCGAGGGTCTGAGAGAAGATAGTAACAAGGCTGTAGAGATTGAACAATCCTTGGACACAACTATGACTCCTGATAATTACATTAATAATTACAAAGATATACTGGATTCATTAAGCAAATGCATGAAGAGGAAGGCTTTGTTTATATATGTGATCGCCCTTATTTTTAAATATGAAAAGTGTAGCTATATCAGTGAAGCTATGGATAAAAACACTGATCTTGGAGCAAAATATATATCATTGAAGGCGCGATATCCGGATCTGGTCGCTAGAGCTTCATCAAGTTCTGTTGAAGAGTTGAAGAAAAAATTTATGGAATATTATTAATGTAATTTTTTATAAATATTACGTAAGATTTTTTAAGATTATTAAAAATAAATAAGTTTCAATTTTGTATAGAGAATTTATAATTAATTGAAAAGCCCTAATTATTGACACTATTAGAGACAAAGTTATGATTTGAATTTTTTTAAGCAATCAAATATCAATATCGTTGAATTTTGTTTGTGGTAATGTCTCAAGTAATGTTTTTACTAATCAAATTTTTTAAAATGATAACCACTGATATTTACTAATTAATTTTAAATAATTAAATAGATTATCCGGAGACACCATTTATTGGCAGGTTAAAAAACTGATTGATCTAATTATTGACATACCTTAGCCCCAATTATTGACACCTATACTGCTTATGCCTAGAATCATCTGCTTATTTTTATTTATCGAAACTTATTATTAAGTAATCAATTTTATTAAAGTTTATTAATAATAATTTCCATAAATGATTAATTACTTTTAAAAATATAAAAATTAATTTAAAAATAATTTATTTAATCAGAAGAGTTCAAACTCTTACAGTTAATTTTTTAGATTAAAGTCAAAAAAAGGCGTCTTAGCGCTGTCGAATGGCTGTCAATATGAGATTCAACTTAAAAATTATCAACTAGTTATTGACACCCATTATTTAAATATTATAAAGGAAACAATTAATTTCGATTATTCAATTTTATAAATTTTTCATATATTGTTAATTAAAAAAAAAAAAAAGATCATAGGGTAAATGTACCAGTTGTTGACCGGTCACCAATTAATTGACCGATGTATAAAAAAGTTAATTAATTAATATTTTACAAGGGTTTTTTTTTCTTAAAGGATTAAAATAAAAAAATATGGCATTTAATCATCATAATAAAAAATTACGCAATTAATTGGGCAGTGATTATAGCTTTAAAAAAATATTGTGAGTTTGTTTACAACGCACCCAGCCATATAAAGCGGTCAAAAATAACTAGCGTACAATTGGAGAGTGAGTGCGTTTCATCATTAATTTAGTGATATTTATCGGCATAATATAAAATATTTTAGTTTTATTATGTTAATTAAAGATCAGATTTCAACTTTTTTGAAAAAATAAAGTTAAATTATAAGTTTTAATATTATTTTAAGACCGGTCAACTATTGGATCCGTCAGAAGCCCTTTACCCAGTAAAAAATTCATTCGGTCATTTATTAGACCCTCTGATTTTATCACAATCCAATTAATGACCGTATATTTATAATACTAACTTCTTAACTACAAAATTAAATCTGTCAAGTGTTTAAAGTACTTTAGTCATTAAATATTTTGTAAATATAAAAATAATCATTATAAAATGTATATTTACAATTAAAATAATACTTAAAATATTTTTTGATTATTAAATTTTATTTTATTCTAATTTTTTTAGTGAACGGTTATATCAAAAAACGAATTATTAGAAGAAAAAATTGATAATCAATTAAAAAAATAAAAAAGAGTTACAAGCCAGTAAAAAAGCTTTAATTGAAAAAAAAAAAG